AGTTAATTTTGAAAAAAGGTGGTATAGTTAGTTGTTAGTGGATATATTAAAATAATATTTAAATAAAATAATTAAAGTTGATTTGATGTAAAGTAGGGAAAAAATGATTGGAAGTGATAGTTAGTTAGAGTTATGTGAGTAGATGAATAGTGAATTAAAGTTGATATAATGTGTAATAATGATTGATTGATATTATTTGATTATATTGATAATATTAAATATAGTGAAGTTGAGTTAAATTTGAGTTTTAATTGGTTTTTTTACTATTCAATTTATAAACAATCACCCCCTTTTATGTTTTTCTTTTTCTTTTTTTTTTTAAAAAAAAAAAGAAAAAAAGAAAAAAGAAAAGAAAAAGAGTGTGCCCATTCAATCAAATGCACCATATTATTTTTGTTGTATTTTTAAGATATTGCCAATGCATATGAAAATATACATATTCGTTTTAGAAAATATAACTACCTAAGATTAACAGCATCTTATTATTGACAATGATCAATATTATGTTTGGTTTCAAGATTGGTTGTTAACAGTTCATTTGAATTCAGCATAAACAATAACACATGAATATATATCACATAATATTCATTGGATTTTGATTATTGATTAAACACATTTTAAGCTTATTGAAAATGAAACAAATTGAAATACAAGCAATCAAATTCGGACATTATTTCAACTCAAACTCATTTAGATTGTATCAAATCTCGAGCAATATAATATCGGACTCTTCAAGTACCTACCTACCCAAATTAATTTTCATGTCATATAACATGTAGTACTATATATAACTATCCACGACGATTACATGATGATCTAACGATTACAAATCTCGACAGAATAGTTCCGTAACAACACAGTAGCATATATATATACTTGCTCAAGAAGAAAAAAATGCGGTGCATTCAAAATCGAACAATGGACCACAACAAACAGGTGAAATTTTAAAACTTCAAAAATGATTTTATTGACGTGAGCAAAATCTCAATCAAAGACCCGTACCAAACAATACATGATGATGATGATGATGATGATAGTATTCACTCTTGAATTTGAATCAAATTAAGGATATTACACAAGTTAAGTTAACTGTCCGCCTCAGGCATCTTTTTGAATCTTTTTACTACATATGTATGTATGTATGTATGTATCTCAGCAATGATCGATTTTGTTCTCTGTCCATGAGATTTTTTTATTTTACTTTTTATTTTTCAAAACATGCATGTCGTCAGTCAGTTGCTTGGGAAAATGGAGATAGATATATACTATATTGCAATCAGTTGTGCAACTTTTTTCAAAATTCAAATGTTAGTTTAATTTGTGCCAATGATTCACATCCACCATTTTCAAAATTGATAATAATTTTGCATAATTACTATTAATATTGTAGAATTTAAACTCTAAATATTTATGCATAGCTAGCTGTTTAAACCTTATTTTAAAAAGACTTAGTTAATTAATAGGAACGAAATTGAATTAATAAGGTTTGATGAGTTCAAATTAGTCATTCACATTATTATTACCCTTTTTTTTTCCCCCCCTTTATGTTCTGTCTTCATGGTTATAACTTATAAGTATTTTGGGTAAAGCTTATTTTATTTGATCTATTGTTTTATTATTCTCGTGCAGTTATATTTCTAATAATAATCTCATCATATTAGTATACAGTTACTAACAATAAGTTTTGGCCTTATTAATTGGTGGCTACTTGAGTTTATTTTACGTACCGTTGGATCAATATATTCCAATATATATAGGTGTGTGTTGATTAATTATTCAATGACAAAAAATTCAATAACTTGAAATGTTAATATAGAATTAATAATATAATCAAATTGTTCATGTCAGTTGACGTTTTCCATAAAACTTTTTTTAATTTTAGATATGATTATGTGTAATTTGTAATATTACGTACATTCATGAAATATACAATAGATATATAAAGTAAAAATTAAGAGGAAAAAAATAACCGTTGACTATAATTTCAATACTACTTGTTTTGTCCAAATACCTTAGTAGGATTTGAAAATATTTGTAAAACCCTATTGTGATTGTTATGCCACACAATAGTAGTATTATGTTAACAAGAATATCAATATTTTGACATTATAAAAACCTTGGTACATACTACATAGTTTGTTTTCTACTATTAATCTTTAAGCAAAAAAAGTCAACACATGATCTCTAAATTACAAAGTTATTATATGTTAATATTTCTTTTGACTTCAGTTTGTTTAGATGTAAAATGGAAATTCGGAGGACATCTCAACTACACCGCTGAATTCTACCAAAATTTTATTGCTTTTTTATTTTTTTTATTTTTTTTATATATGGCAAAAGTCATAATAATAAATTTGCAATAGCAATATTGTAATAATATAAAATGCCATTTTATCTACAGTCCTCCTTATCATTCCGTTGAAATTTTCTACAGTCCGCAAAATTTAAACTAAAAAGTTTATTTTCCAATTATTCAAGCTACATAATGCTTCCATCTAAATGTATTTCAAATTGAATTATCATTGCGTTTTATTTTCCTTTACTAGCTAGGTAAACAGAAATACATATCAAATTCTAGAGATAATTAAATGTGTATAACAAATATTATGTCCTGAAAAGTTGTACGCGAAATAATAAAATTGCTAGAATTCAAGACAAATTTTTCAAAATTCCAAATCAAATATTTTGGACCAATCATCTTTAATTGGCCCATATTTTATGGGAAAAATTCATCTTATGGTAATACTCACACGATTTTAGCTACCAGATCAACACATTGAGATGTTTGAATGTATATGATCCAACGGCTAAAACATCCTTAAATCCACTACTTACATGATAGGATAGAACTTGGCTATTTCATGAACATTATTTTGGTACTTTACCCACGTGGCAAGAGGAATTCAATACCTATGATGCAAAAGAGTCGACTGGAATAGGGCTGCAAACGAGTCGAGCAGCTCGCGAGCGCTCGAGTCAAAGCTCGACTCGAACTCGAGTTTGACCGATCTCGAGTCGAGCTCGAGCGGCTCGAGCACGAACTCGACCCCATATATTGCATTACCGAGCGGCTCGCGAGCGGACCGAGATATGCGAAATTACTAAAATACCCTTGAATATATATGTAATTAATGGTTATTTTACAAAATTTCTTGAAAAAATTCAAGCCGAGCTCGAGCATTATGAATTAGAGTCGAGCTCGAGCTCTTGTATGTTTTGATCGAGTCGAGCTCGAGTACCAAAAATCGAGCTCGACGAGCTCGAGCACCTAAAAAAAAAATCAATCCGCTCGATAAGGCCAATGCTCGACTCGACTCGGCTCGTTTGCAGCCCTAGACTGGAACTTATATTTATAATACTAGAGTTTAGATTCAAACCTTTTTAGATCAGTTAAGTCAAGTTTTGAGTTAAGTTTGAATTTAACTTATGTTCATAATACTAGAGTTTAGATATTAAGTCAAGTTTTAAGTTAATTTTAAATTCAAACGTATATTTTTCGAGCTAAACCAAGTTAAATTTGTTACCCGAATGAGTCAATAAGCGATTTAGAACTCGACTTGTTTGTTAATGTTAATGAGTTGAAGTAAAACCTTAACACGTCGAGGTATGAAAAATTAAGTAAAACCTTATATTCTCAAGTCTTAATGAATAGAGTAAAGTAAAACTCAACGAGCGATCTGACTCATTTGTAATGTCAAGTAGTTGGACTTACGCTTATAGAAAATTACATAAAAATTTATACTCCCTCTTATTTTTAATAAGTGTCGTTTTGAGAAGTTGCACAATAATTAAGAATATTTTTTTTACTAATAATAACCCTCATTAATGATGATAGAGATGAATGTTTTGAGAAAATATGAAAAGTGAACATAAAAAGACATGGTGTATTTATTAACTAGATAAAGGTAATAATAGAAAAACTAGTACGTACCCCGTGCGATGCACGAAACAAAGATATTAAATGAGTTATTTTCACAGTCTTGTCCGTTTAAGTCTAAAAAATAATAATGTTATTATCTATTTTCTATCTCTTTTAATCAACGTTAAGTCTAAAAAATTATTGAGCCGCCTTCTGACAAATACGTATGGAGTTATGTGTACGTGTCTCATAAATCACAAACATTATGAATAACATTACAAATTATTCATTCAACTTTTATTCTCATCCAGACATTTGGTCAAACGCATAGGTGTGTTCAAATTTAAATTTTTGGCATTTTGGTCGGTTGAAATTTAAATCATCTACCATGGTACTATGATGTGCTTTATAAAAATAATAATAATAATTTCACAAGATTTTAAACGTAAAATTTGGTTTTTAATCATAATAGAAAAATCATGGTAAGTTGTATAGAAAAGATGTTATGAGATAAAACAATTAACTAAAATAATTAAATAAAATACTTAATAGAAATAGAATGTATTAATTACTTTTGACTTTTCTTACTACTAATTCTAGTAAATAGAATGTTTTTTATATAAATATAGATATGTACAGACTACAAAGCATCTGAAATGATATTTATTTAGTTAATTGTTTATAAAGCCAAAATGACATTTTAAAAAAATAGGAAGTATTATTATCCAACCTTATTGAAAATTGAAAACACGCAGCTTACCATTGTTTAACGCCGTTTTTTTTTCACGGCACAAGGGACAATACACTTTTGACCGTGCGAAGCCTCCATCGCCATTAACACCGTTACAATTACTTACACATATACATATAGTGAGAGAAAGGAATGTGAAAGGGTTGAGTAGCGTGAGAAAGCGAGAGAGAGAAGAGAGAGAGAAAACCTGTTGCCTTGCTTTTACTATTGTCTGCTTTTGCTTTTCACCTTCGCCACCACTCTTGCCCATAATCTCCAGTCCAGATAACGGCACGGCCACGCCTTCCTATCCGGATGTGAGGCACATAATCGAATGTACATCTGAAATCTCTCTGTTTTTTTTTTCCCTTTCAGTCTCATTTCGAGTTTTCTCCCAAAGCACAAAAAGCCATGGGCAGTGTCTCGTCGGAGGAAGGGAGCGAGGAAAGGTGCGGAAGCTACAGCCTGAGCGCCGACGTTAGTGAGTCGGAGAGCTCGGCCGGCGACGCCGTGGAGGATGTAACCGGCGCCCCCTCCAGTTCCGCCGGTTTTTCTTCTTTCGCGGCCGGGAGTTCGGCGCCATCTACGCCGGCATTCACTTTTCCGTTGATCGGAGGGAGGGATGTGGTGGTTTTGGACGAGAAGCCGCGGAAACTGGGCTCCGATTTGTCGGGTTTGTGCTTTTCCACTTTGCAGCTTGTTTTGTTTTTTCTGTTGTTGCTCACTGAAATTAGTCACTGTTGTTGCGATATCTCACTTGGAATTTTTGTACATTTGCATTTAACCAATAATCTGCGATCGATCTGTCTTAGATATGTGTCAAATGTATATGCTCCCGAAATCACTGACCTATTGTTTTCTGATAACACCCTTTTTCTGTGAATGTTGTTTTATACATGAAATTGCTGTCGGTGGATGTGCAACCCTGAGTTTAAGTCCACTAATACATGCTATGTCACTGTAGAATGGGTTTAACTTTTTGAATTTGCTATTGCGTATTTTCATAGGCTTCTTAAAGCCTTGCACAACTATTATCTGAACACTTTGAGTCGTTTTGGAACGATTGTAGAAATTGATATGATGAAAGAGAGATTTGCGAAACTTCTCCTTGGTGAAGACATGTCGGGTGGAGGTAAAGGTGTTTGTACTGCCTTAGCCATCTCAAATGCTATAACCAATCTTTCCGGTTAGTTCTCTTTGCACATATCTCAGGTTATCACTGTTTGTCTATTTTGTGGCCATTTCTCACCGAATCTCTTTGAGAATTGTAGCCACTGTATTTGGGCAATTGTGGAGGCTGGAGCCCATGGATCCACAGAAGAAGACAATGTGGTGCAGAGAGATGGATTGGCTCTTATCTGTCAGTGACTCGATTGTGGAACTTGTTCCCTCCATTCAGCCATATCCTGGCGGGGGAATGTATGAGGTAATGGCGACGAGGCCGCGTACTGATTTGTGCATGAACCTGCCGGCTCTCAAGAAACTGGATGCCATGTTGATTAGCATTCTTGATGGGTTTCGAAATACCGAGTTTTGGTACGTGGATCGTGGGATAGTTATGGATGAGTGCGATCAGTTCTCGTCGGGGGCGTCTTCCGGTAGGCCTTCGGTTAGACAGGAGGATAAGTGGTGGCTGCCATGTCCTAAAGTTCCAGGAAAAGGTTTGTCCGAGGATGCAAGGAAAAGGTTGCAGCAGTGTAGGGATTGCACGAACCAGATACTGAAAGCGGCCATGGCTATAAACAGTAACGTGCTGGCCGAGATGGACATTCCAACCGCCTATATAGAAACCCTACCCAAGGTGATGTCCCTATTTATCGGTCTTGTTAACTTAAATGAAGATGTCTATAACAAAAATGCTGTGCACATGCTTGTATGTCCCGCCTAGTTCTCTACCGCGTGTGAGGTTCGGTGGGGGTACCTCATTTATGAACATAATCGAAAACCCGGAGTCTGCACATGCTTGTTTACTATGAAGTTTCATTTACCTTTCTCTCATGCTCTTATTTTATTATACTCGCTACCTCGTTTTTTAGGGCACGTGTTTTTTTAATGCTTTCGCTTTTGCATTTAATATCATTCCCTGTGTGGTGTGTCCCGTTTGCATTTAATACCGTCTCTTATGTTGATAAGATTCCAGCTGACAAATTGTATTCTGCCATAAAATTTTCGTTGCAGAATGGAAGAAGCTGTCTGGGTGACATAATCTACCGCTACATAACTGCAGATCAGTTCTCTCCTGAATGTCTTCTGGATTGCCTGGACTTGACTTCGGAGCACCATACGGTAGATGTGGCGAACAGGATCGAGGCAGCTGTGCACGTCTGGATGCTGAAAGAGAAAAAGAAACACCCCAACGTTCACAAACCCAAACGCAAGTCATGGGGCGGTAAAGTGAAGGGCTTCGTGGCTGATGGAGAAAAGAATCTGCTTCTGGCTCAACGAGCTGAGACTCTGCTGCACAGTCTCAGGCTCCGTTTTCCCGGTCTTCCTCAAACTGCACTTGACATGAGCAAGATCCAATACAACAAGGTCGCTAACCCTATCCAATTTTATTCTTTTCCTTAATTTTGCTTCTTTTAGGTGAATAAAAAAAGCAAAGGAAATACTTTTATCTTTTAGCCTAATTGAAGGAAGGAAAAGCATTTAAAGGGTTTTTTCTTTTTTCTTTTTGGTAACCATGCAGGACGTGGGACATGCAATTCTGGAAAGTTATTCACGGGTTATGGAGAGCTTAGCATTCAATGTAATCGCAAGAATTGACGATGTTCTTTACGTGGATGATGCCACCAGGCAATGCGCGGTGAGCGAGGCTCTCTCGATTTTCAACAGGGGAGGAGGGTTCAATGGCCTACCCGTGCAGAAGAAGATGTCCCCAAGTCCCTTCTCTATTCAGCACACGCCTTATGTATCTCCTTACGCGACTCCTTTGTGCTCATCCCCTCCTTTGCCGGGCAGCCCGAGAACTGTTACCCCACTCGACATGAGCTCACGAGCCCTAAACCATAAGTATGACAAGGTCGTGCCGGCTGACCTGGATAAGCTCTGGTTGTATGCCGGTAATCTTAATCTCGGGTCAAGGAGGGTTACTGGGGATGCCCCGGAGCGCGACTGATTAAGTGGATTGCTTCGGGGAAAATTGGAATTGGGGACTTGGGAGGGTGGTGATGATAATTGATATGGGAGATTCGCCCGCCTTGCATATTTTATGTATATTTGATCTAGTGTAGTTCATATTTGAAGTTTTGATTTTTTTTTTTGAAAAAATCTGGATAGGGTATAGTAGGGGAGTATTTGGTTCAGTGTAGTTGAAACGGTTTTATACTGCATCAAGTGTCCAGCTTGATTAGCTGAACTTGGCTAATCTTTAGGCTTTTTTTCTGCTTTTGTGCATTATGCGCAATAAGGGGTAAAGCTTTTTTGGGTAAGGTCATGTAAGTGCCATTGGGGTGTGAGGACTTGAATGAGAGCTATAAATAATGATGACATTGGTTTAGCTTGATTATGATAGAGAGCCTTCTCAATTGAAAAAAATAGGCAGTCCATAATTAATCAAAACCCCTCTCTCCCAATCAGTCTAAACTCAAAGGTGACAGCTTTTTGTAATTTTCAAATGTTAGATTGCTGTCAGGCAATTGCAAAGCGCTAATATTTTTCTTCACCTGCGAATCAAATCTGTTGTCCAATACATATTTACTATTGGGCTCTGCCTAGACTCGCATAGACTTGCAAGGCTGGAGCGCATAACTATGAGATTGGAACTAAGAAAGAAACAAAATATTCATCAAATATATTTGGCCATTCTCCCAGAAAACTCTCTAAACATGGGTTGGTTTGTACTTCATTCCGTGTGCATACGAATGGGTACTGTGACCTCGACTCACTGGAAAAAAATTTAAATTGCTAGGTTTGAACTTGTAACTGTAAGCACCGCGCTTCACTTCCCTTCACCCGGCACCTTTTAATAGCACAAATGCATTAATAGCAAGGACAATATATGCACGAATTTGCATTGCTGCTAGGCCACACAACGAGAAAACATTGCATTCACCAACATAATTTCGAATATTATGTAATCAACTAATAGCTACTCACCACCCAAAAACATCTAAAGCCACAAATATCAACAGGAACAGGAGTTGCAGAAGCAAAAGTAATCTTCGCGTATAAGTTCACACCAATGTTTTCATGTCAAACTCTCTTTTAACGCAGGATTCAAGCTTTTCAACTTCCTTCACAAGTCCATCACAAATCCCTCTCAATAGCTGCAGCCTCTTTTCTATCTCAAGCAGCTGCATGGATGAAACTGTCGTGTTTGGTCTCATATAGCATATTAGTTTCACCATCATTCCCTGTCAACAAGTCACAAAAATAAACTTAGGAGAGAAAAAGAGGTTGATGCTCATTCATAATTGCA